TTTAACCAAACTTGAATTTCCGAGATAAAGCCACCTGTTTGATATTTTTCAAATCTAATTCCTTTGCCTTTGTAGCTTCTTTATCCATGAAATAGTCAACCATCAGTTTGATTGACCATTGATGTGTGGAAATAATGATGTTTCTCAGAACTTTGAGTTCTGCTTGATCCTTCAGAAGATCTTCTAAAAATTTTTAAGTGCATTCTTGATACTATGCTGTTGATTCTCTGCCGTGCACCTTCCCATCTGCCCAATTGACCTCCTTGTTCCTGGTCAGATCTACTGACTGTCCTTGCCAATCTGCAAATTTCAACCCCTTGAGACCCCCATTTTGCACAATGACATTCTAAAGCTTGACCTAACAGGCAGCTCAAGATTTTCCCCATAAAATAGTTCTAATTTAAAAGCTAGTTGATCAGGTAACTATCTTTTGATTTCTTTTGGGCTCTTGAATGAGAGAGCCCAAAAACTGAGCTGATCAATAGTTGGAAATGTATCTGAATTATCAAGACTGCAAACTCATTGCAGAACTTGTGTTGCTCAACATTTACACTTATCTATACACAGTCATTTGGAGTTCAACCAGTGATACTCCTTCCAAGTCATGTGTGAAATGTATAATCAATTTCTTAGCTGATCATGATCATCAAAACAGAATCCAAATGTCAGGCTCAGCCTCAAGTTATGTCTAGTCAGATGCTTCCTTGGGCCCGAGCTAGTAAATTTTGATAGAGATAAAACAAAAACCTTTATCATTCCTTTGACAAATCATATAGAAAGACCAATTTAAAACACGTTCAAGAGTCCAAATTGAAGAGAAACAGACCAAAAACATAATGATCCGTCAGAACAACTTAGATCGATAGATCAATTTAAAGAAAGGTGAAAAGGTTCATACTCTGAACATTTTAACCAAGACCCACAACAAGAACCTTGAGAACGAGATCAATCCCTCAATATGAAGAAACAGTAAAATAATCAAAACAAAAACTGAGATTGATGTAATTTAAACCAAGACCAACAACAACAAACTTCAGAACACAAATCGATCAATCTATATTATGAAAACTGTCAAAAATACAAAAGAACCTTGGAAGTCAATAGATCGATTTCACTGATGGTGAAAGGTTCAGGATTGTAGATGACAAGACTCAGATAAACAACATTCCATCCTTCTGAAATCATTTCAATATCCATCAAAAAGTCAAGAAAAAGGAGCTTAGAAAACTATTGAAATGAGTCTAGATCGATCGATTTGATCGCATGTTCAAGATTTAAAATTGAAAGTGTTCAAAACTAATAAGGATAGTCTGAAACTAGGATAATGATCGAGCTAGTTGAAACACTAAAAGTCTTCTTGCCAGATCCCATACTTGATTGCAAGTGCTTTCATTTTTTGGTGAGCTTGCTCTTTATAACCCGTAAAGACAGAAGATTCGTAAGAGAGCCAATCTTGATTGCAAGTGCTTTCATTTTTTGGTGAGCTTGCTCTTTATAACCCGTAAAGACAGAAGATTCGTAAGAGAGCCAATCTTCTTCAGACATTGTCGATCGCAGTGATTTGACTGTATTGAGTCGATCAACTAAGGACTGCGATATTTGACAAGAACATCCGAAACGAGTGATTTCGGCAGATTCAGCAGGAATTTGATTGTGGTTCTTGTTGAAAGTCTTGGATGCAATTGTATGATGATGTATTTGAGAGTTCCATAGCATTTCAATAACTCCATCACTTGCATCATGATTCACATCAACGTTGTAGTCATTGAGTACGAATCTTGCTCCAAGATTATTACCTCTGGGGGCATTGACACCACGATGGTAAAGTTCACCAGTTGCTCAATCGACTAATGAGAATAAACCAAATGCATATTTTGACGCATCTCTATCTTTGTGCTTTTTGTTGACAAACTCGTCGCAGGTGACCACAATGCTAGAACCGAATACTTTGGAGTTGGGAGTTACATAAAAGGACTGATTCCCCCATGATGGTGCGTTTGTTTGCGCTGCCAGAGTGGCATTAGAATCAAAAGCAAATAAGGAGAGTGAGCTGAATCGTTCGGCAAAGAAGGATTCAATCACAGGGAGGTTTCCTTGTCTTTTCAAGTCGGCTTCCATCTTGCGAAGGTCGTTTGCTACTTCTGCATTCCAGGTATAATGACCTATGTAATTAAGCACATCATAAGTTTTGAGATCAAGGAAGAGTTCTATTTGAAAAGTAACTGACCACCTTTGACAATGTGATCATACCCAGGACGGAATCCTGCAGCATACATTCGTCCGAACTTGTTACCTTGTCTCCTTCCTCGATAAGTAGCAAAATTCCCTAAAACTTCATTCCGAGCTTTGGCGTGCTGATAAACGGTACTGATAGAGTGATTATAACTTCTGAACAATTCATCATTGATTCCTTCCTGACGCTCGACAAATCGGACAACTAGTAATAGCTCCGAGGTATCCACATCGAGACATACCACAGTCCCATGAGAAAGACTCAGACGAGGCCTACCAAATTTACGTCCTTTTTTCAAGAAGAGGAACTTTGAGTCTTCCGGAAGTCCATAGTGCTCAGTGAGTTTGGCTTTTTTCGCGGCTCGAGAGTTTGGCAAGGAAGTCGGTTTGCGCTCAAGTTTCTTCTTGACTGACCGGAGAAGGCGCGATCTGATTGTGGATGGCGACTTGTACTTTTGCTTGGGTAACACCTCATTTGATAAGGAATGATCAGAAGATAAGTCAGGATTAGGTCGTTC